GTACCAGGAACCGAACTCACAACCTTGCGCTTGCCAGGCAAGTGCTTTGCCGCTGAGCTAAATCCCCAGCCCCAAGACCACCTTTATTGAAAACCTCCGTGGAGTGCTCAGGTCCCCCACCCACCACTAAGGCACATGGATGCAAAAGAAAGACAAAGAGAGAATATTCTGCAGTTGAGGAGCTCTGGGATGACCAGTGTTCTCTGCAGAACAAAGGCCATGAGTCCAAAAGCTCACGGCGTTTATTGGTATCAATCATGGAGATGGGTTGGAATTAGGACAGAGTGTTAGGGCAAAGGAACTTTGTAGGCATTTACTGTAAGGAGAAACGAGCAATTTTGTACCAGGCACAGAGGCTGTCCAATTAGTAATGCAACAGATAGTTTGAGGTGTGTGAGGCTGGCACCTTTACTGCCAAGAAGGTATAATTCTTATTGAGTCCTATGATCTCAACTGAGATGTTATCTTGTGTTGTAGCATTAATTCACAGGCTCTAATTCGAGCCCACATTCCAGCCATCAGCACGGGTGGGGGGCAGTTCCTGCCAGCATGCTGTAAGGAGATAAGTTGGTGTCTTGGCCAGACTCAATCACATTTTTTCAGCCAATTAAGGGAACATCTGGTTCAATATAACCAGCTCTGCATATCTTGGTGCATAGGGCTAAGTAAAGATCAGGGAAAGATGGAGACAAGCAGTTTCATTTCTTGGGAGAGGGCAGCTTGATTGTCTCTCACAACCTTCGTCCTAAAAGAGGAAAACCAACTATTCAGTATAATAAAGTATTTCAAAATATATTTTCATAAATATAGCTTCACAAAAACGTATTATTGGAGCACTGACTTTGTGTGTAAGCATGTGTGTACATAAAAATGTCAAAACATTCTCCATATAATGAAGAGATATCCTTTTGTACATCTCTATTTTTAAAGGATACAATCTGAGGAGGCTATGGCTCTTTGGTTCAATTTTCTGTTCTCCAGCACTAGGGACTGAGCCCAGGGCCTAGACTCATGTTATAATTCACTATTTTAAAATGTAAAATTGCCACTGACATGTTCTGTACATTTTTATATTTCTCAAATAAATCATGTTAGAAACATGTAGACACTTGACTTTAGTGGGAGAACTCACTTTTTTCAGGATTAAAGCAACAGGATTTTAATTTTTTGAGATGTTAGACTTTGGGGATCTTGATCTTTCCAGATAATGGCATTCAGAATTAGGGCCCAGACTACAGTCTACAAGGAAGATATAGCTATCCTAAATGTGTCCGAAAACAGATGAACTGCAAAATGTGAGGCAAAAAGTGAAAGGACTGAAAATATAAGTCCAAACTTATAGTCGGAAATTTCAACATTTCTCTATCAATACTTATTCAGATCAATAGACAAAATATCCGTAGGTATAGAGAGGAATTCACCACTATCGGTGGACATGATGTATTTGACACTTGTAGAACCCACCACTCAACAACAGTAGAATATGTATGATTTTCTAAAGCAAATGGAGCATATACCAGCATGTTCCATCACCTGAGCCATGAAACAAACTTCCACAAATTTTAAAGGCTTGAAATTATGCGCTGAATTGTATGACAAAGAAGGAATCAAACTAAAATCAAACAGAGGATAGCAGGAAACTCTCCAGACACTTAGAAACTAAAGACACACTTCTAAATAACCCATAGATTAAAGAGGAAGCCTCAAGGAAAAATGTTTCATTCTTTTAAGGAAGAGAATGTAAGACTATATTAGAAATTATGAGAGATAGATAACAAAAGTGATGAGATGTGCCGTTTGGGTTATATCTATATGGC